TAGGTCTTTAGGATTGGGCTGAGCCAAAGAAAGTCATTTTTCAATGAACTAGTTAGTAGATGAGGTGTGGGGAGGGTGAACCCCAGCAGCTGCACATCATGAAAATACAGTGACAGATTACAAAATAAGGACTGTATGGCTTATGAGCTATATAAAAAGGTCATTGATTACAATTGTTTTAATTTTTATGAAGCCACTTCATTCAAAATGTATTGAAGAGTATCACACGTATATTTTACCTGTGTGTTATGTAAGATAGTTACACTTGTGCATACATTAGGAAGTCTCTATTCTTAGAGATTTTGGCTCTGATTTTGAAGACAAACCATCATTCTTTTGGAATTTGTCTACATGCAGATTTCATTCTTATTCCTTTTTGTGAGAAAGGTACTCAGAACAGAGGCCAAAAGTTTCTGACTCATAAAAGTCAAAATTTTTGTTGATTATTATTACTGGTATTTTTCACTTTTAAGTAGTAAGCGTGGACAAATGAACACAGTTTTCCTTTTTTATTTGAGACACTTAGCAAAAATGCTGAAATATCAAACATTTCCTCAGTAGCTACAATATTGCCACTATGTACAAAATATTTGATAAATGTAGTACACATATAAAAATACAGTATGCATTACATATATACAGTACAATGTGCAAAACATATGGCATTCAAACATATGGAATTGATTTTAGGGGTGCAAACAGCAAATACAAAGGCATCATGGTTTCTTATAGAAAGGCAATACATAAACTGACGCCCTGATTGCCATAATTTGCATTTAGTAAAGTAGTGCTTAAATGAAGAGGGCCCTAGAGACAGGTGTCTATCTTCTTCTTTTCACAAAATGAGATGCTAAGACATAATTACGACTATGAAAATAAGAAGAGAAACACCTACTAGGGTTAGCGTTATGTCTACTGCAAGCAGTACTGTGAAGAAAAATCCTATCTGGAAAAAAGCCTGTGCTATTACTTAATACAAATTTTTCAAACAACAAAAACAAATCTGTACTGTTAAACATCAAATACAGCTTTGAAAATATCTACATCCTTAATTTTAAAAAAGTATGGATAATACTTTTGGGGATTTAATTTCCTATGCTTCAAAATACAAAGTGCCTCCTTTGGCAATATAAATGGCAATGCTTTGGTTCCTATTTAAATCTTTATATTATTATAATTTATTTTAGGCTGTCTTTTGAATATCTGAGCTGTATTTTTTATAAAAAATAGTGTGATTATATAGTTATTAACCATTCCCTGCTTTTTATTGAGAATTTGCTCTCATAGCTAGAATGGCTTTTTTGGCTAGATTTCTACAAATACATTTATGTGCTTTTAACTTAAAAAGCCTTTATATTCAGTATTGGACACTACAGAATGATGTAGGTGTCTCTTTTTTGCACTTTATTCGTAGCAAACTGGTATAAAAGGAATATTTCAGATTACTTCAGGTTTTAATCGATGCTCTTTATTGGCCATGTATATACTATATGCAACTCCATTCCACATATCTCACATAAAAAAACACCTGTAGTATGGTCTAGAAGTCATCAAAATGCAAATTAATAGACCACAATATAAAGAGTTTTAACAGAACATTTAATAGAGATAAGTGGAAGAAATTTTTTTCCAGTTTTAATAGAATTTGCTTTAAGTTTATAATACACTGAATATACCATCCAAATAATAATTGTTTACATCGGTGAGCTTTACGGTGTTTTGATTACATAATGCCCTTCCAGTTAAATGTATTCTGTGATTGCATTTTCTCTGTCTTGAAAGCAGCTCAGCAGCTTGTGCTTGGTTTCCAATTACGGTGCCTACACTTTTCAGGCATCTGAATGTTTGAGATTACGTAACATAAAAGTTTAATATTGAAACTTCTATTTTGATCACCTGCTTCCTTGAACATAACTCCTGTTGGTGAATTTAGAAATACCTTGGAAAGAAATTTCAGTATTAAGTAGTGATTATTTCTAAAAGCTGTGGCCTCAGCTTTTTAAAGGTCTGCTTCTGCAAGCCCACATCGCTGGGTTTGACTCTAAATTTCTGTAGAGAACAACTGCCACAAATTCACTTTATTCTCAGAGAGAACTGCTAAATTTATGACAATGATTTTGTAACTATTTACGAATGCTGAATGGCACTAAAAGTGCATAGCAAATACCATTTCTGTATTAAATGCAGGATGTGACTTCTCTTGATTAACATTAGGCTTGTAAAACATATGTCTGAGTTCTTTCCATGCCTAGAAGTGTAAACATCAGCTTTTGATTTTCATACTGATAAAATGGTATTCTTAATTACTTTGAAGGCTCTACTAACAACGCATTTGATAGGATGTGTTCTGTTAGTATACTGCAGCCATTAAATGGCAAATTTAGTGCCAGTGCATTCCTTTGCAACTGTTCTCTTAATGAGAAATATATTCAGTTCTGTACAGTCAACTGCACAGTCATGATTAAATTTCTAAGATGTATTGTATTTGTGTTACAAAAATTGTCATGTAAAACATGCACACACAAAAGTCTAAGCAAAACCTATTTCTGCCATAACAGGCATACATAACTATGGCAAATATATCACATTTCAGAACAAAGTCTAAAGCAAACCATTACGTATAAGGTTTAATACACATAATTCTGAAATGTACAAAAAAGTAATCACACAT